AGACCTGAGAGTGAGCCGGACGGAACCGCCGGACACGGGAGCACAGTGGAGGAACGTGCAAGAACTGGGCCTTTTAAGGGGTTAGCCAGTCTGACTGGAACAGGTGCAGGGAGTGGAGTGAGTGTGGTACTATCGCGAAAGAAACAACGAGAAGCACTTGAGTCAACAAGTGTGAAGGTGTGCAAGGCCTCAGCAGGCGAAGTACCAGGGAGAGAAGACTCACTAGCACCTAGAGCAGCAGCCTCTATACCCGGGTCGGGTGGCACACACAGGTAACAGTTACCCTCAGCACTAACAGACAAGGCATACATGGCAGCAAGGATATCATCATAGTCAAGAGCAAAGATATCAACACCAGACCTAAGCAGCTCTGGCCAGAGGGGGCGCTCAGCCTTGTCGCCAAACTCAGCGCGCCAAGCGTCGTCAAGGTGGGAGAAGCAGCGGTGTTGTGTGTGAAACGTCCTGCATGTTTGACCAGCGCGGTCACCTTTGCGAATGACATACGGGTAGCGAACACTACCCCCAGATGCCCCACGTTGAGCAAACCACTCACGAAGCTGCTGGGGCGTAGGGGTCTCGCTCCGATGCTGCTACTGCTGCTGCTGCCTCTGGCCACCGCCAGAACCTCCCCTCTGAACAGCTCCACCCCGACTGCCACCACTGCCGCCTCCACCACTCCCACTGCCGCCACCACCGCCACCACCTCTCCCACCACTGCCACCACCGCCGCCACCGAAGCCCCCACTCCCGCCACCACTCCCTCTGCCACCTCCGCCACCTCCACCGCCTCCACTGCCTCCACCACCACCACCCCCGCTGCCAGCGCCACCACACTTGCCACCCTTGCCCTTGCCGCTGCCGTGCTTCCCACTAAGAGCAGAAGCAGCCCCGACGTCCTCAGTACCAAGGATGTCAACAGCAGCAGAAGAAGCAAAAGAGGGGGCAAGAGGGGGGGGGGGGGGGGGGACACCCCTCAAAGAAGGGTGTGCGAGGAGTGCCACGAGCAGCACCTACAGCAAATACGCCAGTCTCAGCTGCAAGGAGGTGCTTCTCGAGCAGGTCGACATTGAGGTCTGTTGGGTCAAGCACGAGAAAGTGGTCCCTGACTGCACGACGAGAGCCAGGGAGGCGGGTGACTATGAAGTAGAGAGTGATGTACATCGGGGGCGTGTTCTTGTCTAGGAACTAGGCTGGGAGGGCAGCGCGGTAGCGAGCGTCGCTAGTGCGAAGGTGGGTAATGAGGTTCTTGACTGTGGCAAAGGCTGACAGCTCGGGAAAAAGGTAGGGCAGTATAAGGCGGCGGAGAGCAGCAGTGGCAGGGGAAGAGTAATGAGTGACTACAGCATCGTACAGGGCTTTAGCAGTCTTGTGCTGGCCATAGTGAGTGCGTTTGGCTAACGGTAGGTGGTTGCGAACAGCTAAGCGAGCAGTAATGTCACGGGTAAGCCACTGTGAGCGAGTCGCACTGTCAACCGTGGCGGGAGGGGCGAGAGAGGCTCCAGACGTATGGTCAAACAACGAAACACTGTCTATAGAATCGCTCAGTAGGTACAGCTGTAAATCGTCAAGCCACGTATCGAACTAGATCGGACGGCCCTCATGATCGAAGGTGAGAACACTGAGAGAAGCCATAGCGGGCAGAGCAGGGTGGCGCGCGACCAGCATGGCAGCACGCAGGCAGGGCGGCGCGCGAGCACTAGGGAAGCGCGCAGGGCAGGGCGGGGCGGCGCACGGCTAGGGAAGAGCGGCGCGCGGCCGGGGCAGGGCAGCGCAAATGGCAGAGCAGGGCGGCGCGCGGGCAGGACGGCGGCCAGCAGGGCTGCGCACAGCAGGGCGGGCAGCAGCAGGGGGGCGCGGGCAGCAGGGCGGCGCAGGCAGCAGGGCGGTGGCCAGCAGGGCTCCGCGCGGGCAGGGCAGGGCAGGGCGACGCGCAGGCAGGGCAGGGCGGCGCGGCTGCCAGCAGTGTGGTGCGCGGGCAGGGCAGGGCGACACGCAGGCAAAGCAGGGCGGCGCGGCAGCCAGCAGGGCGCCGCGTAGGCAGGGCAGGGCGACTCGGCGGCCAGCAGGGCGGCGCGAGGGGCAGGGTAGGGCAGCGTGCGGCCAGCAAGGTGGCGCGACAGGCAGGGCAGGGCGGCGCGCGACTGGCAGGGTGGCGCGACAGGCAGGGCAGGGCAGGGCAGGGCAGGGCAGGGCAGGGCAGGGCAGGGCAGGGCAGGGCAGGGCAGCGCGACTAGTGGGGCAGCGCTACGAGCAGGGAACTATGCGGTGGGCCCTAAAAAATCGGTCCTGGAACCGGACCTGCTCTGAAACCATTTCAGAATACTGAACGAGAAATGAATGCACTGAGCAGAAAGTTGGTACAAGTACTAACCCTAATTGGGTTGTACCCCTTATGGGCTACCCCACTACAGCCTACACAATATAAGCAGTATAACATTTTGACAGACGTTTCGCAAGAAGAGGTAAGTGGAGGCCACGAGCACCACGAGCGCCACCTTCAGGTTCTGCATCAGTGGAAAGAGGGAGAGTTAAGGGGAGAGGTGCATGTGAACGGTTGCATGGAAGGGTGAGCAGGTGAGCTGGCGAGCAAATGAGATGCGATCAACCTGAGACGATCATACAAGATGGTTCAGATTGTATCATGGTATGAGAGCCACTCAGGATTCTTCGCATCACCACCTCTGATTCAAATTCAAATTCAAGGAGGCGTCCGGTACGCGCTCCTGCCGAAACATGGTTGGAGGATCTGGCGGACAAGCAGCTCCCACTGCTGAAGCCCCCGCCAACCCTACCGCAAACTCCGTGGGCAGCACTACCATCAGCAATGCGCTTCTGGAGCAACTCATCTAGCGCATCACCATGCTGGAATCAGGAATTCAACAATTGAAGAGTGGTAACCCGGGCACCTCGCAACAACCCGATCAACCGGCTGCTCCAAGCAAGGAACCGAGCCCAACCACCTTCGACCTCGGATCGAACTCTTCCGCTCCAACCGCTCCTCGTCCAAGTGACGAAGTCATGCTCGCTGCTCAGAACAAGTTTCTGACAATCTCCAAGATTCGCACTAGCACCGTGTTTAGCGGGCGAGATTTCTACACCTGGAGTTTCGAGCTCGAGCTACTTCTCCAGAATGCGCAAATCTTCTGTTACTTCGACGGAAGTTACGCTGGCCCCATTGGTGATACTGACGACGCTAAGGCTCAGTACTTTAACGAGTCGCTCTTGGCGTACAGCGTCCTCCTTCGCAACATGGCGCCAGCCGAACAACTTGGCATTCGCCCCTTCAAAACACATCTAGCTCCCGCCATGGCTGCCTGGAGCTACCTCACCAAAAATTACCAGCCCAAGGACTCTGTTTCCTCTAGCCGCTTGCTCCAGCAACTCATGGAAGTCAAGATGGCACCTGGCGAAAAGGGAAACTCCTACATCAATCGTTGCCGCAGCCTCCGCGACCAGCTCCTGAAACTCGGAAACACAATCTCCGAAGACATGTTCGTCACCATCGTGCCTCGAGGACTTGGACCCCACTGGAATCCCTGCAAGGCTCCACTTCGCCAACAAGGCATAATTTCAGAAGCGCATCTCTGCGCGACGTTACTTCATGAGCAGCAGGACATGGATTTCAACCAAGAAAAAGGGTCGTGCCGCGATCAAATTGCCTTCTACTCCAATCTCGACCAACGACAGAATCGCGATTCACGCCCACGCCAATACTACTGCAAACATTGCAAAAACTTCGGCCACTCCACCGAACGATGTCGATCCGGACCACGACACGATTCCGCGCCGCGCATCAATTCTGCCTCCGGTCCCGATCACATGCGCCAGGCCAACCGACCGTCCTCGGACCATCGGTTCACCCTGCCTCAACCTCCGCAGCCTGACTCACAAAGGCCGCCGACGCAAAACAACAACACCGCTCGTCATATCATGGCCAACATGGCGATGCGTGTTCACCGCCGCACTCGGCGCACCAATCGGAGGCACCTCCGACACGTCTCCCCTCCTCCTCCAGGACAAGAAGTCCACTTCACCCGCTACAATAACCCATTTATGCAGGACGGGGATTTTGTCTTTGACGAATACGAGCAAGACTGGGACCTGCCGATTCCCCTGCTCGAATCATCACCGCACGATGACGATTTTCTCAACTCGCCGAGCATCACCAGCTATTAATTTGGACACTACATAAACGCATTCCATTCCGCAACACCCCAAGTCTCGCTCTCTCGGCGCAACAACGCGCCGACTCCCACAACACATGGTACCTCGAACGCTGCTGCGGGCAGCACATGGTGGGATCCAAGCGCTTCATCTCCAACGCACGACCAATCCCAGAACCTACCATCGTCACTGTCGCAAACAATCAGCAGCTTGCAGCACGCGCATGCGGCATCGTCGTTCTCAAAGCACACGACAGCGACATCCGCATCACACTCAACGACGTACTGATCGTACGAGATCTCTGTTACAATCTCCTCTCCTACGAACAGCTCGTCAACTGCGGCATGCTCACGACCACAAACCCTGTTACTCGGTGCAACCTAATGCACGGGAAGGATTACAGTCGCCCCGCCGACCTACCGCGCTACATCGGGAAAGCATGCGCCGACAACGGTGTTTACATCCTGGAATTTGACATCCCCGACTGCCGCGCGGATTCTGGAGGCCTCATTGACCTCCAACCTCAACAATTCACTGATCCCCACGGACTCACACACCCCGATGGGCGCCCCTGGGTTAAGCATCATGCTCATCGCAGAGAAATCGACCTTCACGCACCTGGACATGATGGACTTTGCCGAAACTGCCGCACACCAACAGCCTCCACAACCAACGACAGGACACGAGCACCGCCAGCTGACGAAGTCGAATCATCAGCTGCAGCAGCAAGACGCCTGGCAATAGCTGCAGGCAGGCAAACTACAGACCAAGGCATACAGCACGTTGGCATGGACATAGTGGAGGAAGCAGAATGGCAGACGGAACATCCCACAAGCATGCGCCATCACGCGGAACTCGCTACAGCCCTCACCATCTTCCAGCCGTGCAAGACTCGAACTGATCCCACTGTGCACGATTGCCTCCACCTCCTCACACGCTACACAGGACCTAGAGCAATTGATCGTGACAACAATCCCCTTCCACTGGACTGGGAGATATATCATGTTGCTCATCCCTGGTCCCACCGCACCATGACCACTGAAGAGTTCCAGTGCCATGAGGAAGAAGAGAATCGCCGTCGCGCTGAGGAGGAAGCCAAAGCAGCAGCAGCAGCAGCAGCCAACAGGGGTTGGGGAAGCAGAACTGGGGCAACAGGTTGGGGAGGAACCGCACCAGACTGAGGAGCAAGAACCTGGGGGGCTGCACAACAAGAGGAGGAAGAGGAGCTCATCGAGGATTTTATAGCAAGAACAGAGAAGGAAGCAGCTGAAGAAGCTGCAGGGCCCTACGGGTCCCCATGACCCATTGGAATTCCCCCCTCAGAAAACTCACCCTCAAGTGACTCTTGGGCCTCCTCCACACACTCAGCACCTCCAGGCGATCGTGATACCATATTACCATACCGCCGCTACCCCCACAGCCCACTCCCAACTGAATCCACTCCAATTGGACCCCATGACCCAACAACCGAGGGACCATCCCTCACCACATGCCTCGCCCAATCCTCCCTGAAGAATCTGCTGACACAGATGACCCTACAGCACCACCTGCTTGTGAGAATCGAGAATGAAATGAGAAAGGATGATTGCACTAGAAAGCAATTGGGTACATATAGGAAACCCTAACAGGGTTGTACTCACTATTGAGTACCCCACTGCAGACTAGAGAAACATGATATTCTAACACACCCCCATAGTCAAAGTGGGGTATGATCAGCACAACAAGCAAAGCAAAGCAAGCTCAGGGTGGATCACAATGTCACCACACATTCTGAGCACAAGTACAAGAAGTAACAGTTTAAAGTTCACAATAAATAAGTAAAGCTAGAGGCTATCACAGAGGGCAAGTGAGGAGGAGGAGGCTGGACTAATAGGAGAGGAGAGAGGAGGCAACGGCGGAAGCTGCGGACACACGGGCAACAGGAGCGGCGCGCACTGTGGCTACCGGAGGCGCACCTCCGGACTACAGGAGTAACTGGCTCCGCGGCTAAGACGAGCGGCAGGAGCAACGGACCCACGGGCGACTGGCGCAGCGGCATCACTGGGCTACCGGAAGCGCACCTCCGGACTACTGGCACTGCTAGCAACACGACGGCTACCTCCACCCAACCTCCCTCTACTGCCGCACCCCCCATTCACACACCCCCTGCTGCACCCCTAGGTTCACTCACACTTCACCCCCTAGCACCACTCCGTCGACTCACACATACCCACCCCCCTCAGCGGCAGCTGCAGCAGTGGGAGACGGAGTAGGAGGAGGAGCAGGGGATGCCACACACCCGCCACCCCCATACCCTCCCCCACTGCTGCACCTGCAGCAGGGGATGGAGGAGAAGGGGGGGGGGGGGTGTGTATGGGGGTGCTGTGCATGGCGCGTGCAGAGGGCAGCAGGGCGCACGGGGCGCACAGGGCAGCAGGGCAGCAGGGCGCGCGGGGCGCACAGGGCAGCAGGGCAGCAGGGCGCACGGGGCGCACAGGGCAGCAGGGCGCGCGGGGCGCAGCAGGGCTGGCGGGTTGGCCACACCCGCCACCCCCATACCCTCCCCCACTGCTGCACCCGCAGCAGAGAGATGGGGGGGGGGGGGGGGGGAGGGGCCGGCAGGTGCTGCAGGTCCCCTCCCCCCACTGCCGCATCCGCACCAGGGGGATGGCAGATCCCCTCCCCCCCACTGCTGCACCCGCAGCAGGGGGAGGTAGGAGAAGGGTGGGGGACCTGGTGCTGCAGATCCCCTCCTGCCTCCCCCTGGACCTCCAAGCTTCCCCCCCTTCTCCCCGCCATCCCCATGGAAGGGGGGGGGGGGGGTCGGCGGCGCGGGGTCCAGGGGCGGCTGCTCCAGGGGCGGCTGCACCAGGGGCGGCTGCTCCAGGGGCGGCTGCACCAGGGGCGGCTGCACCAGGGGCGGCTGCTCCAGGGGCGGCTGCACCAGGGGCGGCTGCACCAGGGGCGGCTGCTCCGACGTGTGGCCCCCCCCCCCCAGGTCGCCCCCCCCCGTCGCCTGTTGAGGCGACCTGAGGGGGGGGGGGAGGAGTACGGGGGCCGACGCGCGGCCTCCCAGGGCGCCAGAGCAGGCGGAAGAAGGGGCGACGCGCGCCCCCCCAGGTCGCGGCCCCCCCCCCCCTGGGTCGCCACGTAAGGCGACGGGAAAAGGGGGGGGGGGGGGGTGCACGGGCCCCTGGTGCGCCACGACCGGCATGGGGAGGGCGGGGCCTGGGCAGGGTCGGGGCATGGCAGGGGCAGAGCCGCGATAGGGCCGCGACAGGGTCGGGGCAGGGTCGCGACAGGGGCAGGTCCGGGAAAAGGGCCGGGGCGGGGCCGGAACAGGGCCGCGACAGGGTCGGGGCAGGGCCGCGAGTCGCGCCAGGCGACGGGGCCGATACGGGGGGCCGCGACGGGGGCCTGCGACAGGGGGCCGCGAAGGTGGGCCGCGACGAGGGGCCGCGACAGGGTCGGGGCAGGGCCGGGGTCGGGGCAAGTCCGGGACGGGGCCGCGACAGGGTCGGGGCAGGTCCGGGACAGACCTCGAAGGGGCCGCGACGGGCCTAACGGGCCGCGAAGGGGCCGCTACAGGTCGTAACTGGGGCCGCGAAGGGGCCTAACTGGCCGCGAAGGGGCCGCGACGGAGGCCTAACGGGCCGCGAAAGGGGCCGCGACGGGCCTAACGGGCCGCGAAGGGGCCTAACGGGCCGCGACGGGGGCCTAACGGGCCGCGAAAGGGGCCGCGACGGGCCTAACGGGCCGCGAAGGGGGCCTAACGGGCCGCGAAGGGGCCTTACGGGGCCTTACGAGGGGCCGCGAAGGGGCCTAATGAGGGGCCGCGAAGGGCCGTTAAGGGCAGGCGCGACGCGCGCCTAGGGTAGGAAAAAAAAGAAAATTAGTGGTGGGCCCTTTGATCGAAATCGCTCTATACCATGTGAGAATCGAGAATGAAATGAGAAAGGATGATTGCACTAGAAAGCAATTGGGTGCATATAGGAAACCCTAACAGGGTTGTACTCACTATTGAGTACCCCACTGCAGACTAGAGAAACATGATATTCTGACACTGCTGCCATCCCCACAGTGGAACAAGCCCCACAGCTCACCGCTCATGACCTTATCCTCGCCCTTGGACTCTCCATTTCACCACAGCCAATCCCACAGCCCCCTCCCACCAACATCACTGAGCTGCTCGCCTTCTACGCACGCCCACCTGCCATCCGCGCGCACCCAGATCTCTAGCACAAACGCCTCGGTCACCCCTCGCAAGAAGTTCTCAAGAACTGCATCCGCGCCAAAGTATTTATCCCCGGAACCTTCCTCCGCCCTGATGGAACCCCTGTTCCCATCAACACAACTCGCCACACTGACTGCGAGATCTGCCCTGAAGCTGCTCTGACTCACAAGCCCTTCAAGCTCCTTGAGCCCAGCACCAACCGTTACGAAAAGCTCCAGAAAGTATACAGCGAATTCCTTGTTCTCACACAGACAGGCACCAACGGCGAAGAATACACCCTCACCTTCATCGACGCACACTCTCGCTTCGTCTGGGTGGCCAACGTTTCTCACAGGAGCAAGGCGTATGACATCTTCAAGGTCTGGCACGCAAACGCTGAGACATAGTCTGGCTGCACCCTCAAGCTATGGCAAACCGACTGCGCAGCAGAGTTCAAGAGCGACAGGCTGGCAACATACCTGCAGGAAAAGGGAATCGTCCACAAGCTCTCTCTCCCATACGTTCATCCCCAGCAAGGCGTCGCAGAGCGCACCAACCGCACTCTCATGACCAAGGTCCGCGCCCTCCTTCAGCAGAGTGACGTCGACGCGAAGTACTGGCCTTACACCATGCATCACGCTGTCCATCTCCACAACCTGCTCAGCACCACTGCCAACACCGACAACCTCTCTCCTCACCTCAAGTTCACAGGAACCAAGGGAGACGTCTCCATGCTCCGCGTCTGGGGGTGCATGGTGCAGTATCGGCCATCAGCAGCAAACACCGGGAAGTTCGAATGCCGCGCTCGCTGGGGCGTGCATCTCGGCATCAGCTTCGAGCACCACGCCTGGAACATTCTCGACCACGACACCTCGCGAATCTTCGCGGCCCGTGACGTCATCTTCTACGAACACCTAACAATCCGCAAGTTTCAATGCGATCGCCACGCCGACCGCACCAGGGGGGAACACAACATCGCTGACTACGAGCGCCCGCCGCGCAACTTCGCCACTCCCAAAGACGAAGCAGAAGCAGCACTCGCAGACCAGGATCCCACAGATCCCCCTCCTGGTCCTCGCCCCTGGAGCGACGAAGACGACGACGAGGACAGCGCCCCGCTCGACTCCTCGCGCGACTCTCTCCTCAGCCCTACCCCCTCCAGTGGCCACAACTGTGACGACGGTGTGGTTGAAGTCACTAGCGACCAGCGCCACAGCCCCGCACTTTCTGGACTTCACATCCTCCGCCTCCACACTGATGTCTCCCGCCCACCAAAGGCGGTTGAACCCAAAACCCCGCGCCATGCTCTCTCAGGACCCTATGCCACGGAGTGGCGCGCGGCTATGGATGCCGAAGTCGCCGCCCTCGAAGCCCGCGAAACTTGGGTCCTCGCTGACCGTGCAGCGTTGAAGGGGAGACGCGTCCTCCCCGGCAAGTGGGTCTTCCGCGTCAAGACCGCAGCCGACGGCACTATCGAACGATTCAAAGCCCGCTGGGTTGTCCGAGGATTTGATCAACGTCACGATGTTGACTTTGATCAAACCTTCGCCCCCGTCAGCCGCCACACCTCCGTTCGCATCCTCCTCGCCGCCGCCGCTGCAAAGCATCTTCCACTCCGTCAGATCGACGTCAAGAACGCTTTCCTCTACGCGCCAGTTGACTCCCTCATCTTCGTCGCGCAGCCTCACACCTACGGCGACAGTGACGACCACGTTTGTCAGCTCAAGAAATCGCTCTACGGCATTAAGCAGGCCCCACGACTCTGGCAGCAACATCTTCACCAAATCCTCCTCGACATCGGCTTCATCCAGCTCCCTCACGATCCTGGCATGTATCGCCTTCATTTTCGCGGAGATTACATCCTTCTCACGGCATACGTGGATGACCTTCTCTACACCGGCACCAGCAACGACCTCCTCGCCCAGTTCGAGAAAAACCTCAGCAACTGCGTCGAAATCACCAGATCTGACCAGGTCACCCAGTTTCTGGGCCTCAGCATCTCCTACGCTGCTGACGCTATTCACCTCTCCGCGGCCAAGTACGCTGACACTCTATCCGCCAAGTTCAGCATTAAGCCTGCAAACCTCTCCACCCCATACCGCTCCCCGCACATTCCTGCCAATCCCAACACCACCCCACTCAACCCATCCGGCCATCAATTGTACCAGCAGCAACTTGGCTGCCTTCTCTTCGCTGCAGTGACGTGCAGGCATGACTTGTCCTACATTTCGAGCCAGCTTGCCCAGTATGCCAAGCGGCCTGAAGGGGAGCACATGTTGGATCTGCAGCGCGCCTTGCAATACTTCATCTCCACACCACACATTGGCCTCACCTACTCCACCCTCACGACTCGCTCATTCAACCTCGTTGGTTACGTGGACGCAGATCATGACGTCGACCCTGTATATCGACGGTCCCGAACCGGCTTCCTCTTCTGCCTCGAACCTACTGGACCAATTTCTTGGAATTCCCAGAAGAAAGAAATGGTGGCACTCTCCTCTGTTGAAGCCGAGTCCATCGCTGCCACATCAGCAGTCCGCGAAGGGCTCTCTACCTCTAGGAACTGCTCTAGGAAGCGAAAATTGCGACATCTGAGAGCTTCAAACTTCAATGCGACAACCAGAGCGCGATCAAAATCGCGAACAAGCCTGGCTTCGTCAACCGCACCAAGCACATCGTGTCAAAATGTTACAATGCTTACATTGTGTAGGCTATAGTGGGGTAGCCTATCAGGGGTATTACCCAATTAGGGTTAGTATTTGTACCAACTTTCTATTTCAATGCATCCATTCTCGTTAAGTATTCTGACATGGTATCAGAGCAGGTCCTGTTTCAGGACCGTTTTTTTTTTAGGGCCCACCACATAGTGCTGCCCCACTAGTCGCGTCGCCCTGCCCTGCCTGTCGCGTCGCCCTGCTGGGTGTCGCGTCGCCCTGCTGCTGCCTGTCGCGTCGCCCTGCTGGCTGTCACGTCGCCCTGCTGGCTGTCACGTCGCCCTGCTGCTGCCTGTCACGTCACCCTGTCCTGCCCGCACGCCGCATTGCTGGCTGCCGCGCCGCCCTGCCCTGCCTGCGCGTCGCCCTGCTGCCCGCACCGCCCTGCTGCTCGCGCCGCCCGGCTGCTGCCCGCCTTGCTGCACGCAGCCCTGCTGGCCGGCGCCCTGCTGCCCGCGCGCCGCCCTGCTGGTAGCCGCACCGCTGCCCGCGCCGCCTTGGTGCTGCTCGCCCTGCTGTGCGCCGCCCTGCTGGCCGACGCCCTGCTGCCCGCGCGCCGCCTTTCTGCCCGCGCGCCACCATGTTGGCAGCCGCACCGCCCTGCCCTGCCCACGCGCCGCCCTACAGGCTGCTGCCCTGCCCTGCCCTGCCCTGCCCTGGCCATGCGCCACTCTTCCCTAGCCGTGCGCCGCCTCTCCCTGCCCTGCGCGCTTCCCCGCGCCGCCCTGCCTGCGTGCTGTTCTGCTGGTATCGCGCCACCCTGCTCTGCCCGCTATGGCTTCTCTCAGTGTACCCACCTTCGATCATGAGGGCCGTCCGATTCAGTTCGATACGTGGCTCGACGACTTACAGTTGTACCTACTGAGCGATTCTAGAGACAACATTTCGTTGTTTGACCACACGTCTGGAGCCTCTCTCACCCTTCCCGCCACAGCTGACAGTGCGACTCGCTCACAGTGGCTTACCCATGACGCTGCTGCTCGCTTAGCCGTTCGCAACCACCTGCCGTTAGCCGAACGCGCTCACTTTGGCCAGCACAAGATTGCTAAGGCCCTGTACGACGCTGTAGTCGCTCGTTACTCTTCCCCTGCCACTTCTGCTCTCGGCTGCCTTATACTGCCCTACCTGTTTCCCGAGCTGTCAGCCTTTGCCACAGTCGAGGACCTCATTACCCACCTTCGCACTAGCGACACTCGCTACCGCGCTGCCCTCCCAGCAGAGCTCCTA